TTTTTCAAAATAAAAGTGCAAACGATCTTTTAAAGCTCTTCTTTTGTCTGATTTAAGGCGTTGTAAAACACTTGACACTATATCACTTCTTTAATGTTATAATGTTCAATTCGTATTGTCTACATTTGTTCTGCAACAATGCAATCTGGCTACACGGCAGCCACGAGTTGCGCGCGCATGTCATCTTTCATTACTTTCTAGCTTGTATTAAATACAATAGGGTCGTTACCTCCTGTTATTAAAATTATACTGACCATTATTTTTCGATATAGTGAGGCCTAAAACTTGGCCATGTCATATTGGTTTTATTGAGAATTGTTTCCGGGATTATTTAAATTAATTTAAAATTTAAACATTTTTTGTCCTTGTCGAATTGTTGGTCTCTTTCTCCCATGACGTCACTAGGCGGGCATGCGCAAAGCAGTTGTAAACAAATCCATCAACATATGCAATTTTGTGAGGTTATGTTGTTTTGTTATTATTTTGGAATGTCGTTGATCGTTGTTATATTTTCATTATTTTTTGAGTTTTTCAACGGTTTTTCCGAGGTTTCAAGAAAAATATTTAAAAGAAACGTGTAATAAATTCCAGGTAAGTCATTGTTTCTCATTATTTGATGTTATTGAGGTCTCAAATAGAGCATGCATTTCAGTTTCAGTGTACCCACCTAAGTCCTACCTACTGTTTACTATTTGGCTATGGATTTTCGTAAATGTTTCGTTCCTTCTTGTAAAAACAGTAATCTAAATTCAAAGAAAATCTTTATAGCTGTCCCCAAAAATGAACAAAAAGAAGAAGTTGGTGTTTAGCTGTGGCAAGAGTTGAAGTATTGTCTAGTATTTCTGGTGGAATTTATTGCTGCGAAGATCATTCCGATGTAAGTAAACTTAGTTTCCAAATTTCATTTTATAAACACCTTTTTTCTGTTTTACATTATTTCAAAAATATGAACATTATATTATGTTTATAGATGGAACAAGATTGTGAAAACTAGATGCAGTTTAGGATGACAAACTGCAAATTACTTATGAAGAAAAAATTGGTTCCACATATTAATTTAGGCAGAATCCGAGTTTGTGAAGAAGCTGAATAAAAGAATTGTCAGCTTACAAATCCATATTGAAAGAGTGATACAAAGATTGTGAGAATTAACAATACTCGAAGGACATTCCTGCATTGACCATCAGCTTGTGGCAAAAACTGATTATTTAATAATTATTGTATAATTATTGTTTGTGGAATAGTGAATTTGCCATTATTCAAATAAATTTTATGTCGAAGCTAGAAAAAAATGCTTTTTTGAATATATTGTATAAAAAAAATACCCATTACTTTTTTTTACTGCCAAAATAGTACATTATACACCTAGAGACTAAAGTGGTACTTTTAATTCCGAAGTGAGGGCTATAATTTGTTGAGGGATTAAAAAACACTTTAGTCCTGGTCCTGAAGTGTATACACTATCATATGCACTTTAGGGATTAAAAATTAAAAGGGTACTTTTGATCCCTCTAAAGTACATAAAATAGTATATACATCTCAGGACTAAAGTGTTTTTTATTCCCTCAACTTTGGAGTACCCTTTTATTCCCCGTTCTATTTACTCCACGGGAAATGAAGTAAAAAGTTAATCCCTTGGGAAATAAAGTGATATTTAATCCTGGGGATTAAAAGGGTATTTTTAATGCATAAATAATGTAAAGAAGAAAACTACCAGACTCCCAAATCATTCATATATTTTTATTCAAAATGACTGAAAATACATTTTTCTTCCAAAATTCTTCAGCTGATTCAATAATTACTTTAATAAACCTAATGTTTGAGTCTAATTCAAAAATTGTCACTTCATTATCCTCTCCAAATTTGGGACTTGCCATACAAAACAGTCCTTTTTGTCTGTTACACAATAACATTTGTAACTGAAGACTGAAGTTGGCACATGTATTTCGTCATTATATTTCCATTTTCCTTAATGTAGTTTTTCAGTCTCCTTCTTGCTAGGACATTAAACTTCAATCACAAATTCTTTGCTTATTCCATCTGGCGATGCTCCTAACAGAGGATATTCTGCTGTCTCTTTTCAACTGCACATTAATGCACATAGCCAATAGCATTGTCACCATGACTGGCTCTCGCTGACCTAAAAATATATGAAACTATAAAACTGTTACCCTGCTACTAAAAATGTAATATAATAATGGGCCAAAGCTAAACCAATACAATAATTATGCCAATATTTCACTACCCACCTTTAGGTTTTGACCTCGGGTTTGACTCCTCTTATTTCTGCACTTAAATAATCCGTATTTTTGGCAAAAAACTCTTGCAACATGCAACATCACATAATTTAGTTCAGGTAAATTTTCGCTGGAGGCTTTAATAAATCCACTATCCATCTTCTCACATAAACCGACCAAATAAACGGGTGAAATAAGTATTTATTTTTTATTTTATAAATCAACCAGACTAGACAAGCGAATCAAAATAAACAAAATAACTGACATAACCTCTAAAAGAAGACAGGAGATGGGCCAGTGGCATTGCAGCCAACTATACTTTATTTTTTTCCAAGATAGATTTTGACATTGTCAACTTTGAAACATAAACAATGCCACTTATTGGCCGCTATTGTAAAACTGATGTCATCCTGCAGAAACACCTCATTTTGCAACCAATCAGGGTCAAGCGTTATTGTTTATGTTTCAAAGTTTTCAATGTCAAAATCTATCTTGGGAAAAAATAAAGTATAGACAACTAGGAAATTTTGTCAGTGATGCAAACTTAAATTTAGAAATACAGTGCGCAAGCGCGCCTTGTGACGTCATTACAATTTAAAAAATAACGAATAATAGTAAAATTTCAAATTGAAATATCTGCTTTAATATTATTCTAAAAAATGCGGGAAAAAAACCAAGAATAGATTTCGATGTGCCTAATTCAATGAAAAAATAAAAAAAAATCATGAAACGAGCTCTCTTTTTCTATTTATGCGAGATAGGTCTATTATCAACACTAAAAATGAACCCGTCTTGCGAAGTCACATAAATCATAAACCAGTCAGAAGGAATTTCATTGGTTGAAAATAGTCATAAAACTGGCGATTTGCACCAATCGAAAACGCTCTGACTGGTTTGTGATTTCTGTGAGAACAGACCTCTAATCTACATCACCGAACATTATATAACCATCGAGTGTGTTCAATGGTCGAAGGTTAAAACATTTTCAATTCCTGCAGCAAAAGTCCATTCAATACTCTTTTTTGAGACAAAGACGAGACTATAGATGATCGAAGGTGCCGTGATGAGTGGTGACAGGCGTGAGGCGACAGTGGTGACACATAAATTAACTCTTACCGGACAATGTTGTCGGATCTTTTATTTTCCTCCTATTATCCTTGTGGCATGAAACACTTGTTTAATCAACTCGAAATAAATTTGTTTGCAACTTGACGCCCCTAATCGTGGCGCCCTAGGCGGTTGCCTCGGTTGCCTGTGCCTAAATCCGGCCCTGGTGATAGTGGTATTCTATCATTTGGTGTTTGCTGTCAGATCGCCATAAAATTCTTTGGTAAGGTTGATCTTTTTGATGGATTTCTACCTGTAGATACATTCTTTCTATATCGACTGTAAATACTACCTTAATATGCTGCCTCCATCTTAGCAGGATTTCAGATAGGTTCTGTTGGAGTCTTGGACCAGTAAATATCAGATCATTTAGGTTCAAATTGGATGTTGATTTACTGGAAGCGTCAAAAACAACTTGTAGTTTGGTAATTGTACTATCCATTTTAAATATTACTTGGTGTGGTAATGGTATGTAGTATCTGCCTCCATAATTCTTCTTTGAGGCGTGGCTCTCTAAAAAAAACGGTTTTTCAGGCTTTTTAAACGGGCACCCGCTCTAGGTTTTGTTGGTCCTAATATTTGCGTGCACCGTTTGAATGGTATTCTGACTAAAATCTTCCCTTTTCATCTCGATAGGTAGTCTCATCGTAAATTTTTTTGCAGAGTTCGTCATTTTCTGATATGTATTTATTGGTTTCGGGTTTCTGGATATCTTTGGTTTCTGGCAACTCTTCTAGTTCTCAATATTTTGTGAGTTGGCTATCCTCTTCATGTCATACTGGTCGCTTGAAGGTGGTTTGACAACAGTTTGCTGCAAATATATAAAAGAAACGTTCCAATTTGGATAAACGGATAGGTTTTTGAAATTGTTCGTTTCATGTTCTGTCTACAGATTTTTTGATGTCAACATAGATGGATAACTTTGTGATCTGCTATATTGTGATCTTCTATAGTTCATAGCAAAGTTAATATTTGTGACTAGATTTTGGTTCGTGTTGCATTTTTTAGGTAAAGTGAATTTTGTATTTAAACCCATTGGCCATTGCTATGCTATAATTTGTTTATAATCATTACTAGTCTGTGAGCTTTTTAATAGATCTAGATTCACATCTCTTTGAAAAATGGAAGGTCCTTTTTTTTTTCAAATAATTAATTGATCTGTTTCTAGTAGGAGGGGATTGTATTTATTTTTTGGGGGTTGATTAACTGAATATATTGTTAATTTTTTTCGAGGTACCTATGTGGAAATTGTGTTACATTCGGATTCAGATATTCTGTATTTAATGTTTATAGTCAAGATATCTATGTGTTAAATTGACGATTGTTGCAAAATTATAAGTGGATTTAGTTTACTGACAACCACATCCAAATGGAATGACATCTATTATTCTTCGAATCCAAAACAATTCAATCCAGCAATCTTCCTATTTTCGTGTTGTTCATTCTAATCTAATTGTGCACTTCAACAAAATAAACCAGGGCTCCTCACCTGTCACACAAATACTGTTCCAAAATTATAAAGTGCGAAAAAAAATAAAAGTCCTCTTTATATCAAGCTCTAACATCTTGTAGACGATTTTTCTGCAGCATCCTATTACATATTTCATTTTTTTTTCTGAAAATTCTATATTATTATTGGCAAAAAAAAACTATTAGCAGCCGCAGCAGGCCCTTCCAGTTCATTCTCACCAGCGGTAGCAGCATCTCCTCCATTTTCTCGCTCCCGTCTCGTCCCACCGCTACACCGCCACCAGAATCTTCTGGACGAATCTGCCCTTGACGACGGTATAGTACCCTCCACCCCCACCCTATTCGCTCCACGTCGTTCCGACGGTTTTGGCGAGGCTGTCAGTTCACCCCACGTACCGTCTAGTGCCACGGGACGGTTCACTTTCAACGAATCGCAACTGGTACAGCCGTCACGTGGTGGTGGGGATTATAGTATCTCGGAAGTTCCCCAAGTGGATAACGTGGATAATAGTAGGTGGCTCTGAGCCGTGGGGAAGGTACTTTAATAATTGGTATCTTTTACAGGTACCGGAAGGAGTGTGCCCACAACGCCTTTGCAATCGTCGCCACAGGAAAGTATACCCAATCTAATTGACGAACATGGAGCTGATGGACAGGCGCAGAGTGATGGTATGTGGGATTTTATAAATCATTTATCAAATTATCGGTAATTAGGAAAATGCGTCAATGCTCTTGATACTAAAAATTAAATGATGTAAAGTTGAATTTGCAAAAAATTCCAATTTTGAAAATAATACCTCAATCTACTTAAAATTGTACTGTCGTTCAGAATACATTTTACTTACTTTTGCAAAAAATCCCAACTTTGAAAATAATATCTCAATCCGCCTATCGTTTACCTCATGCCCTTCAGAATAAGCCCCAGTTTCCAGAAGCCTTACCGATTAGTTTTTTAGTAAATTGAGGTGCTATTGCAGAAAATCTCAATATACACTTTGATTGGTAGTAGATTGAGGAAGAAACATTAAAAACTTGCTTGTATATTTAGATACTCCTAAGTTCCCATTATGGGTACCTAGTTTATTATTATTATTATTTACGAGAGTTTTTTTTTTAATAAGCTTGCTCTTTGTTCCAGCAGAAATTCCCCAAATATCGATCAGCACTGAAGAAGAAGAAGGCAGGGGCGAAGGTAGTTCGGCCGAAGTTATGATGGGTCCACCAAGCCAAGCCGGCACATCTTCTGAAGAAAACCGCCAGGAAAATGAAGTCGAGGTCGAGGATGCCGTAAGTCGGTTGATTACTAAAAAAAAAGTCAAAAATACTTTTTAATATTTTTGCATGTCTCTTAATATTTAAACAAATTCGTGTTTCAATTATTTCTCCTTTTTATAGAAAACTTTATATGTATGTATATATGAGTAAAATCAAGTTAAATCCCACTTTTCCTCAGTATTTGTAATGTTTTCTGACTTAAAAACAAAATAATTCTAAATGTAGGTGAGCTCCGAAGGCGAAAAACAGCCTCAGGCCGAAGAAGGCGAAGAAGAAGGTCGTGAAGCGGAAGCTTCTCCGAGTCCTACTGAGGTTAGGAGAAGTTCGAGGGCAGCTCCGTCAGCGAGACGCTCTGCGAGGCTGTATCCCGGTAGCAGAGGACCGTCAAGAATGGGGCCCACACCTATCGTATGGGGCGATCAAAGGCATCCGCATTACAGGAATCAGCAGCAGCAACAACAACAGCAACACGGTGAGTAAAATGTATTCTGTTTTTATTTTGTAAACTTCATTTGACATTTAAAAAAATTAATGGGAAAGAAGGACCTCAATGCGCGCTGTTAATAGTCTAAGATCCGAATAGGAAAGGATCTGCACCCATCTGTTTAATGGGTAAAAATATTTTATATCCAAGTTAGTATGTTAAAAAAAATATCACGTGTGGGTTGGCTAAAAAATTCCTGGCCAGACTATCTTATATATATATATAAAACACAGTTGTGTTTTGTGGAAGCACTTATAACTCGAGAACGGCTGGACCGATCTCCTTGAAATTTAAACCACGTAGTTTCTATCTGAAGGGAAGTGACATAGGCTACTTTTTATCCCGGAAAAAAATATTTTCAATTAATTAATAATTATAAACAAACTCATTCACATACATGACCCAACTTTTTTTGTTGAGAACATGAAACAACGTTGCCACATTTATTTGAGCTTGTGCATTCAACCGACACGACGTAACTGTATTATTTTTTAGAACACAAGAACGACTGGATCGGTCCAGTCCTTGGAGTTTATACCACTTAGTCACTATATAAAGGGATTAAGTATAGGCTACATTTTTTCTCGGAAAACAAAATTAATTTTTAATTAATTATAAACAAACTTATTCACATACATAACCCAACTTTTTTTGACAATATGAAACAAAGTTGCCACATTTATTTAAGTTTGCGCATTCAACCGACGTAACTGCTATCTGTCGGGTTGGTTCCAGAATCTATAACTCGAGAACTGCTAGGCCGATTTTTATGATTTTTGTTATATTGGATTTGTCTGGCCCGAATTACATAACAACTATTGGAACATTGGAACATATAAAAAAAAAACACAAAAAAAAGAAAAACATATTTATGAAGAAAATTCACTAAATATTCATACGGCGCCATGTCTTATAACCGATACCAAGTTTGCCGCGTCAGATTGCGCGGTTTATTCCATTTTGATTTTTGAACATTTATTGAACCACATAATTTATTGTTAGTAATCATTTTATCTTATTAAAAAAATGAATTTAATTAGGCTAATGCGTTAACTTAACATTTATTGATTCTGAGGCGTTACGAAGTTCGCCGGGTCCGCTAGTTATTAATAAATACCTCAAAAATTATAATTGTTAAAGGCATTGCACCCATTTGTTTAACAAACAAATTTCATACTAATCGAAAGTATAGGGCCTAAAGAATATAGAAACGTTGGGTTATCTATTTTTTTTCTGGCATAACTGTTGGACTGGCAGGTTTGAACAGGTGAGTCAATATTAGTAATTCACACTCATCTGTTTAATGAATAAATCTTATATCAAAAAAACAGTTATTTCATTGCGAACACGATGATACAGGGTTGTCTGCGAAAAATCTGGCCTGAATGACGGTTGGCGAACTTTGAAAAACGAAATTTTGGTGCGGATGGAAATATGCGACAGAGAGGTTCAAGCGAACTATCCGGTGCATTAAAAAATGAATAAAGATTCTGAAAATTTGAAGAAATGTTCAATTTGTTTGAATAATTTCGATTTTCAAAATAGATTTCTGGTTTTAAAGTTGTCCCGAATTCAAATTCCCAGGGTATGTACGAAAACGCTCTGCTATTGGTGTGACATACGATTTCCGTTTGCGGAATCAGTGCAGAAGAAATGATATTTCAAATGCTCTTATAGAAAAAGACGTGTTTTCGCGTGCAATTGAACAATTCAAATTTTAATCTTAAATATTTTTGTTATAATAAAGAGTCGCGGTTTATTCACTTTCTGATAAACTATCAGGTAAATTATCAGACGGATAAAAACGCAATCTATAATCCTATTGGTCGGCCAATTTTTCGTTGACCAATCGAATTACTATTGATGGATAAATTTATCTTGTAGATAGTTACCAGTAAGTTTATCAGGAGATGAATAAACAAAAAACCGAACCTGAATTAATATAAACTATTTACAGACTGATTTATTTACCTGACAAACATTCTAAAAATATGTAAAAATTTTTGTGGGACTTGCATGACTCAGTAATTGATTTCAACGATGAAACTTTAAAAAATTGTTCATTGAAGTTGGCTTTTCGTAAAAAAAAGAACTTTTTCCTACGAGCGTGCGCAAAGTAGTACTTTTCCGCACGCATTTCGGTTCTCAAAGTTGCACTTTTCCGCACTCAGTGCGGATACAGGCCTTATCCGCACTGAGTGCCGAAAAGTAAAAATAATTGTCAAGCAACAATAAGTACACCTGTCGACTTTGACACATGATGACAAATTTTTCCTCTGTTCCTGTTCCAGCTAACATCTATACCTACAAACACCAAATTTAATTAACTTCAACACATTGTCAGATTTGTTTTCTATATATATGCATCTACAAACTTTCTCATCAAATTTATAGCATTTTCCATTTGTCGAAACAGGGCAAAAAAATGTATCCTTATCCTTACATGTTACATGCTTTTAGAAAAAGATGCGGATGCACTCAGTGCGGCACTGATGACAAATGGAAATATCCATTAAACGCTTTAAGATGAAGAGCTCTGACGATGATTTTCTGTTATATTTTTTTTTTGTTATGTAATTTTTTGATAAATGCATAGGTTCCCTTCAAGTTAATTAAAAATAATTAAACAAATTATCGTTTTTTTTTTAAATTTTTGTTGTTACCTACCTGTTATGAAGCTCGTAGGAAAAATTTTGTTCCTAACACGTGCGCAAAGTGTCTTTTCCGCACGCAAACACGTATCCGAACTCCGCTTCGCGTCGTTCGTATAACTGTGTTTGCGTGCGGAAAAGTAACACTTTGCGCACTTGTTAGGAAAATAACTATTTGTACACCATTTTCATTCATCCGGACTCGCCAGAAGTCCGCTTCTATTGCACCAGATAGTTCGCTCGAACCTCTGTCGCATATTTCCATCCGCACCAAAATTTTACTTTTCAAAGCTCGCCAACCGTCATTTTGGACAGATTTTTCCCAGACAACCCTATATCATCGTGTTCGCAATGAAATAACGTTTATTTTGATGTAAGATTTATATATTAAACAGATGGGTGTAAATTACTAGTATCGGCTCATCTGTTCAAACTTGCCAACCCAATAGTTATGCCAGGAAAAAAATAGACAACCCAAGTTTTCTATATTCTGTAGGCCTTATAATTTCGATTAGTATAAAATTTGTTCGTTAAACAAATGAGTTAAGTGCCTTTACTAATTATAATTTTTGAATTATTTATTAATCACAGTCTGGCCAAGAATTTCTTAGCCAACCCACTCTCGATATTTTCTTTAGTATACTTAATTTGATATAAAATACTTTTTATCTATTAAACAGATGGGTGCAGAACCTCTCTAATACGGATCCTCCACTATTAGGGAGGGCAAACCTAAGTCTCAAAAATAACAACGACATATCCTTATTTTTATTTCTCTTAAACATTCAGTCAACAAGAGAGAAAATGAATGACTTATCAGTTTTATTAGATGACTTAAATAGGCCACCTCTCGTGCTACTTACTGAACATTGGTTGAAGGAGGATGAGTTGTGCTATTTGTCTGGCTAGAGTGGTATCTAAATTTAGCAAAAGTGAAGGTTATGGCGGAACGATTGTTTTAGTCCATAGAAATTTTTTGGAACAATTTGGTGTAGTGAATATGGACAAATACAATTCTCTTCCACAGAAACATAATTTTGAATTTTCAATTATTTTTATAACAAAACTAAATACATTTTTGGTGTGTTTATACAGACCTCCTTCAGGACGTGTGGTAAACTTTTTAGAGTCACTGGAAATGTTATTGTCCCAACTACCAATTATAGCCAATATACTTTTAGCGGGGGATTTGAATATAGACTTTAATAATAAGGATTCAGTGGATACGATACAAGATCACTAACTAATCTGCAAGCGTATTTTAATCTCAGTGTTTTTGCTAAAGAACCTACACGAATTACTTCACACTCTACGATATTAATCGATTATATTTGCAGTAACATTGAGGAAATAATCTTACGTGTGAGGTTATTCCTTCAGGTATCTCCGATCATGAAGCTCTTGTTGCAAAGTTCAGCCTGAGCAATAATGATCAACCAAAAAGGAGACAAAGGAAAAAGACTCGAATCCTCAGCGTATCAAATTTTAATTCATTTCGAAAGGCTGCATCTGGTATACACCATTTCAACCTCAATTTCGGAAAAAGTAACTTTTATTTAGGAAAATGTAAAGTCATTTTCGGAAAAAGTCAAATCAATTTCAGAAAAAGTAAAGTTAATTTCGGAAAAAGTCAATTCAAATTCGGAAAAAGTTAATTCAAATTCGGAAAAAGTAAATTCAAATTCGGAAAAACTATATTCAATTACAGTGAAAGTAATGTTATTTTTTAGAATAATTCGAATTGATAAAAAGTTAATTTAGCAGTGACTATAAACCTCCAGTCGAACCCGTACCCGGACGGGCTCGATTCCAATAAGTGTACTCTAATTAGGTTCAACGTATATTGGTTCTACACCATTTCAACCTCAATTTCGGAAAAAGTAACTTTTATTTAGGAAAATGTAAACTCATTTTCGGAAAAAGTCAAATCAATTTCCGAAAAAGTAAATTTAATTTTGGAAAAAGTAAATTCAAATTCGGAAAAAGTAAATTCAAATTCGGAAAAAGTAAATTCAAATTCGGAAAAAGTACATTCAATTACGGAGAAAGTAATGTTATTTTTAAGAATAATTCGAATTGATAAAAAGTAAATTTAGCAGTGACTATAAACCTCTACGTAGTCGAACCCGTGCCCTGACAGGTTCGATTCCAATCATTGTACTTTAATTTGGTTCTACATACATATATTGGTTCTATATTATTTTGTAGGTCTGATGATGTTCATATGTCACTATTAGGTGAATAAAAATAATAAAATAATACACAATCTGTAAACTTGGTAATTTTTTTCTTTCTTTTATTGTTTCTCTGTGTCTCTTTGAGAAATATGGACACATT